AATATGGTGAAAAAGGGACAAGAGTTTCTAATTAGTACCACCATGAAAATTCGAACGATAGATCTTCCTTTAGGAGCTACAGAAGACATCTCCAGGGGTCAGAGGGTGCGCTCTTGAGACGAAGCGTAGATGGCCACAGCCCTGACATTGTATCCAATAGTTGTCCGAAGGGACTCTGGACTCCTTTTCCAGCAGGTGCCGCTCCCCACCAACCACCAATAAATGGAGCAATCCAACGCCCAAAAAGCCTCAATCGTGGAGGCGGTTCTCTTACCACCGCTGGGATAGAGGCCTTAAAAGTGGGTTTTTCAAAAAAAAAAAAAAAAAAAAAAAAAAAAAGAGCTACAGAAGACAGAGTATGTGGAACAATTGATATTGAAAAGGCATTAACAAAAGAAAAAAAAGGAATTAAAGCTTTTGAACCCGGAGTGTTGGCTGAAGTCAATAGAGGGAGGTATTCTTTATATGTTGATGAAGTAAAACCTCTATTGACGATCACTTAGTTGATGTGGCTATTGGATGCAGCTGCTTCTGGTTGGAATACTGTAGAGAGAGAACTCAGAGAATACTGGTTAGATTTAACGCCTCAATCTGGATTTAACGCCTGAATCTGGACGTGTTTCTGGACTTGACAATGTGTCCCCTCTCGTGAAGCCGAGTCAACGAGGAATCCGCGTGGGTTACTCCCTCTTCCCTCGCTGCGTTTCGCCGTTAACTCGATGGGTTTCGCCGTTAACTCGACGGGTTTCGCCGTTAACTCGATGGGTTTCCTCTGTGGGTTTCGCCGTTAACTCGATGGGTTTCCTCTGTGGGTTTCGCCGTTAACTCGATGGGTTTCGCCGTTAACTCGATGGGTTTCCTCTGTGGGTTACTCCCTTCCCTTTCTGGGTTTCGCCGCCGTTAACTCGATGGTTTTCGCCGCCGTTAACTCGATGGGGTACACTCAAGCTAGACCATGAGTGCAGGCAGAGACTCATATGAGTCACGGGGGGGAATGCTGTTATAACTCGATGGGTTAAATCGTTAACTCGAGGGGTTACACTGTTATAACTCGATGGGTTAAATCGTTAACTGGAGGGGTTACATACGCCGTTAACTCGATGGCTTACACCGCTATAAAGTAAGTTCGTCATTCTGTTATTTGAAATTCCGTTATTTTTTTTCAAGAGTATTACTTATTTTAACATTAACGCTTTGAGCCTCTCTAGTGTTAATTCCAAGAATACGAAACTCTCAATCTTTTTTGGAATCAGCCCTATTTCTTTTGGTGGTACCATTTTACTCTACGGGATAAACAGTTAACCCGATGGGTTAAATCGCGAACTGGATGGGTTATACCGTTAACTCGATGGGTTACACCGTTAACTCAATAGTGGTTGCACCGTTAACTCAATGGTGGTTGCACCGTGAGCTCAATGGTGGTTGCACCGTTAGCTCAATGGTGGTTGCACCGTTAACTCGATGGGCTACACTGAGGCGGAGACCGGGAGTCTAGACTGACTCGTGTCAGGCGTCAAATCCAATCCAGATTCTCTGTATCGTTCCAAATCCAATCCAGATTCAGGCGTCAAATACAATCCAGATTCTCTGTATCGTCCAAATCCAATCCAGATTCAGGCGTCAAATCCAATCCTCTTCGCTTGTGAGAGTCTATAAAGGGTCGAATCCAATCCAGATTCGCTGTATCGTTCCAAATCCAATCCAGTTTCAGGCGTAAAATCCAATCCTCTTCGGTAGTGAGAGTCTATAAAGAGTCGAATCCAATCCACATTCGCTGTATCGTTCCAAATCCAGTCCAGATTCAGGCGTCAAATCCAATCCTCAAGGGGATGGTGTTAACTCTAAGGGTACAATGGTTAAGACTCGTGTTTGCCCATTTGTCTTTTCTTGATCAAGAGCTCGATTTTTTTTTTATTTTTTATTTTTTCCAACAGAAACTCATATTATCCAAGAGCTCGAATCTCATCGAGAGAACTTGCTCTTTTTTTTTTTACTTTTTTTTTTTAACAAATGAACTTGGTCTCTGATTGTTTGCCTTTTCTTTTGCCTTTTTT